GGTAAGTGGTATATTTATTTGATAATTAGTATGCAACTATGAATAATTCTTTATTTTGGATATTTTAAAGATTTACTAATGTCTTGTTAAATGATATTTTTGTAGCTGATTGGTGGACACAGTTTGGAACCCAAATACCAAAGTTAACAAAATTTGCTATTCGAGTTTTGAGTCTTACATGTAGTGCTTCCAGTTGTGAAAGAAACTGGAGCACCTTTGAGCAGGTTATTGTTTATTTTCTTATTTTCTTTTTTAGGTTTTTATGTAATAGTTGTGTTTTGTCAATGTTTTTTAATAATATATATTTTGTCTTTGTACTAGATACACACAAAAAAGAGAAACAAATTGGAGCAACAAAGGTTAAATGCTTTAGTTTTTGTGATGTATAATATGAAGTTGAGGGAAAGAAACATGAAAAGGAGGGCAAGTGCAAGTATTGATCCCATTTTGACACAACATGTGGAGGAGGATGATGAATGGATTATTGAAATCGAGGATCCAGTTCTTCCAACTAATCCTTCTTGGGTGGTTAATGACTCTTTGGGCCTTGAAATTGCCGCAGTTGAGGTGGTTGAAGATGCAGATACAAATTTAGTAGAGCCAATAGTCCCTACCAACATGTGGAGGAGGATGATGAATGGATTATTGAAATCGAGGATCCAGTTCTTCCAACTAATCCTTCTTGGGTGGTTAATGACTCTTTGGGCCTTGAAATTGCCGCAGTTGAGGTGGTTGAAGATGCAGATACAAATTTAGTAGAGCCAATAGTCCCTACCAACAAAGAAGGATCAAGTGGAAGAAAGAGGGGCTCAAGTGATGGTGGCAACAAGACATTTGATCATAGAAATCAAAAGGCTCAAGCTACTGAATCTCAAAGTAGTAATTAGTGTATATTGATTCTATTCTTCTAGTGGTCCAATTAATTTTCTAGTTGTGGATTATTGAGTAAGGTGATAATGGCAATTGGATTTCGTTTGTAGGGACAAGGAAAAGCAAGAGTGTTGAACTAAATTTGATTGATGAGGATGAAGATGATGAAATAAGGAGAAATGAACCATATGATGTGGATGCAACTCTTGAAGCAGATGATGATGCCTTTGTTATTCTAGAAGAAGATGATTTAGAGTCTTTTGATTGAGTTTCAGTCCTTAGAGTTTTGTTTTTTTGTGATCTATGTTGCATATTTGAATCAAGAATTGTATTTCACATTTTCACTATGTTATATTGTTAGTTGGAGTTGAAAACTTGAGATTTAGAACTCAAATATTGATTGAAATTAAGTCATTTTAGTGTTATATACGTTTTTATGCTTAAAATATCTTTTTTTATTAATATACCCACTATAATTATAAAAAAAATACATACTTGAGGCTTACGCCTCCCTGTGCTTGGGAGGCTTATGCCTCCCACGTTCTGAACTAGCTTCACGCTTCTGAGTAGTGGAACGCTTTGCGTCACTTCTCCGCATTTTAAAACACTGTTTCATATAGTTGTTCCTCTGTCTCAAATCATTAGCTTTTCATCAAGTCTTTTAGGTTCGATTGAGAAAATACTTGATACAATTACAAACTTGTTTTTTACAAATATTAGTACTTTAATCAGTGTGTTATCATCAAAACACATAGGGTCAACAAAGATCATATTACTTTATACTGTGGTAAGGAATTTTAAGGGAAATCTTATCTTGTAAGACAAGAAAACGAATGGCAATTATCCATGAAATACTCCATATAATATTCTCTCCCTACAAGTTGAGCCAAGTTGGCAATTATCCATGAAATACTCCATATAATATTCTCTCCCTACAAGTTGGCAATTATCCATGAAACCAATGGCCTGCATGAGTGAACTTTGCATGTGGGCTGTAGGCGACAAGTTGAACCATGGACTTTGGGACTTTGTATTTGGCCTTGCATGTAAACTAATGTACTGATGGCACTTGTTTGTTTTTTTCTATAATAAAAAAGATTAATAAAAGAAAAAAGGGACTACAAAGAAATTTGACTGACAGTCACATGAGAGAAGAAATAAACAAACTTCACCTCCAAAAACCATCCCCAACTCCCACTTAATTAAACAAAACATGGACAACATCCTAAAATGAAATACATAAATGATCAAAATCTTCCACTACTTATTTAGGGACTTCTTTACTTCTCCTGTAGACTTTCTTCGATTTCTTCACCCTCTTAGTAGTAGGCCCAACTCCAAACAGACCCCCTTTTAGCCTTGCAAAAACTTTTGGTATTCGTCAGTGCCCTTTGATCTTCATTGATTCTTTCCAATTGCAAGACCACATTTCTCTCAAAAAATTGATTTGGCACCATCTCTTCATCTCCTCTACAACCAACTCCATCTCCTTTAAACGGGCTTAGCCTTTTGGGATCAAAATCTGACCTTGAGTTAACATTCTCTTTGGAACCCAAACTAGAATTTCCTTTTTCCAAAGGCATTGGATATTTTTCTTCCAAATCTTTACACATTTTCTTAGCAAAATCCTCCCCTCCTAGAATATGGAACCCCAAAGATTTACTAAATTTTACTTCTATGTCTGATGCAAATATGGAAGGAAAGGAAGAAATGGAAGATGGGGTCAAAGAGTAGACCTGTAGAATGTGTCACCAACTGGAAAATAGGTGACTTTTTCACCAGCCAAATGTTGTTTAATTTGGATGAAATTTGGTGGCATTAAAGTACATTTACAGTACTTCGATACTGTAGAAATTCAGCTTAGTCCAACATGTGAAAGTGCCCAAACTAAAGACTTTGAGTTGGCTGGATTTTGTGTTCTGCAAGACAAAGTCAAAGTCCTAGGCAACAAGTTGACTAGCATTAATAATAATTTTCGCCTATTACTATTTATAGTAAAAGATAACTTGCTATTTTTTGTAATTTTGGGTTCCTTTTGTTTAGTGGCATTAGGGAGTTATAGTTTGTCCTAGTTTGAAAAGGAAGTTTGTACTTTTTGTATGAGGTTTGAATACAAATAGGAATTAGAGTCCTGGAGTCTTAAGTAGGAATTGGAAGTTAGAATCCAAATAGGAGTTGGAAGTGTTACTTTGTCTCTATAAAAGGGTGTTGACAGATCTTGTAAAAGGCACTCTATTCCATCGAATTAAATAAATAATTTTTTTTTTAATTTCTGTTTCTGCTGTAGCCAGCAATTATAGTAGAATTAATTCTTGTTTTGTCTTCTATTTTATCTTGTTTATTTGCTTGTTAATACTTGCAGCTCAAGCCTATTTTTGAGTGTTGGGAATTTTCTATTTGAATCGTCACCACCTTTTCCACATCAGTTGTCCCTTCAATTGCATGAGTGTCATCCAAAATCACTTTCCATATCAGTCTTCCTACCTTCATTGTCTATCTCCTCAACTGTATCCTTTTCCTATGATGGCTTTGTTCCTGTATCTTCTAAATTCTTTTATATATTGTAGAGATAATGGGCTGAATGGGCCTTAGTTTCTTTGTTTTTCTTGAAGTTATGTTTATGACTTGTTTTTGTAGGTAGTGGGCCTTAGTTTGGGGGGTCATTGAGTTTCAAAACCAGGACATAATTATCATATTCTCCTATTCCCAGAGATCCAATGATGGATCATCATCAGTTGGCCTCTTCGTTTTTCCAGTCAAGTTGCCTAGTTTGCCTTTACCTCCAATATAAACCTACTTGGGTTGAGACCATTCAAAAATTGGCCCCATCTAATATAGTAGTAGTAATCTGAAGGTTGGAGTGCTATCCAAGAGAAGAGAGAGATTGCCTTCAAGTTGAAGTAGTAGTAGTAGACCAAGGAAATGGCTCCAAATAACAATTGGGACCAGAAATACAGAAACCAGCCCTAACCAGAGAAGAACCAGTATTGGCAGTAAAATATATATTAGAAAAATATTCACTAGAAATTCAATACTGCTCCAAAAATCATGATGCTAGTTTTGAACAAGCAACAAATATGTCTTGGAACAAACCTATTGATCCCAAACTGATACAAGCTTCCTTCTGATCTCCTCGATTAGAAAACCCAAATCTGAATTTTTACTATTTTCAGCAGAAAAAAATATAGGAAAAATACAAAACTTCACAGATTGGTCTACTGGTCATATTAAAAAAAGCCCTAAGTCATCTGTCATCCTTGATTGAGGGGTATAAACCCCTACACCAGCAACCAATACCTCTGTGGACCCTTTATTGGAAACGATACCTTCTTTGAAGCTGTTGTTCTCCTTGAAAAGAACAACCATGCCCTTGATCCTATTATGGCTCTGATACCATATTAGGATTGTACAATTTTGTACAATGGGTTATTAGATTGAAAGGTTGGAAGAGGAAAACAAGAGAGAAAGAAGAAAGAAGAGAAGAGATGATAAAAATAGGGTGAGATGCCCAAAGGGTCGGCCCATTCATGTTTATTTATACTTGTGTGTTTAAAATTTGAAATCTAGAAAAATGCCCCTCTAATAATAACAGAAGCATGTTAAGTATTCCTACAAGCCCAAACAAGTAGAAGTTAATAAAGTAATCTATTAATTAATCAAAAAAAGTAATCTATTAATTAAAATATATAAGAAAAAATCTCACTTGTATGCACAAGAAAAACATATAAATAAATCTAATTTATTATATATTAAAATATAATTTTCATGTCCACGATCTGTATGTATCAGTCTTTCCAAGTCAGACACCTAGAAATGTGTCAGATTCCGATTTTTGCATCTGGAGTCCACCAGCACTGGGCAGAAATTCCATATCCAGAGTGAAGCGTTGTCTTTCATCTGAATCATTTTATTCTGAATAAGTACTTTCTTTTTGTGTTGTGTATTCATGTGGTGTTGTAACTTGTAAATGTCTCATAATGAAGTAAAACACTACTTGACATATAAAATACCTTATGTCAGTGCTTTGTATGAATCCATGTCGCTGTATGTAGTTTTGAAGGACTTACTCTACCCACTACTTTTTATTGAATGCCTCACACTTTTTCTTATGTTACTATGTAATTTTGCAGTGTTCCAACCTACTTTCATGCCTATTCAAGCTATGTTCCCAAGTCTTTTTGCTACAGAAGTACGGGGCCCACCCTTTAATTACTCCCTGTCTGCTGCACCTGTTATGCATGAGCCAGTTAAAGGTCAGGAAATGAACATTTTTCAAGCTTCTCAGGCTCCATCTATTAAAAATCATTTAGCTGTTGGTACTGCAGTGCCTACTCATAAACGGAAGGTGGTTCATCTGAGTTGCTCCAACAGCTTGATTGTGAGTGAAGATACAGAAGGAAATAAAAATGCTAATTTGGAACCTTCATATAGAAATCAAGTCCCTGCCTTGCAGGTACATAGTGGATTGGAAGGAACTCCTATTGTAGGGGCATCACCTACTTCTAGCACAGATCCTCAGCCTATGCATGAACCTGAGGATGGCAAGGTTTGTTCATTTCCTATTTTATTTCAAGTGTTTTTGGGTATGAAGAGAGAAGTTCTTCATACTTTTACCTTTTCCTGAAAATGGAAGAGATAAGGCCTATATTGTGTCATAATGGTAGAAATGGCTAAATATAGACTTTTATGTGATATTCCCTTTTTCATATATTTTTAAATGAGATTATCATAACCATCCACTCTATCAGATTCTTTTGTATAGTTTGAATTACAATGTTCATCACTGAGAGGGAAAATAATAAGTTAGATAAAGTAAATAGTTACTTCTTTGTGGTAAAAAAAATAAATAATTAGGTGATGGAACATACTTGCAGCCCAAGGAGTTTTCCCATGATTGACAACTGTTGCATCACCAACTTATCACGTGTTTAAGATGAACGAGTGATCTCACAATCATAATTTACCATCCTTGTTTTTTTGGGATTGTTGATTATAAAAGAACAGAAAATTAAGTATAAGGTCATCATGCTTAGAGAGAAAAAGAAAAAAGAAATCTAAGATCATCCAAAATCCTCAAAAGGAAATAAAAAGAAAAGTTCAAGCACTATATAAAAATATGAAAATATAAAGGTATAGGCATGCAAGCAAGAGCCCGATATAAACTACTATTCAGTTCAACTCAACTCTAGTAATCCTTGTCACAATATAAACTACAACTAGTCATCCCCATAGTTGTCAAGGCGACACCTAGGTGGCACCTTGGCGATAAGGCGTTCTTGGAGGGTCGCCTCGCCCAAATGCCTTTATATGTAAGACACCACACAATATTTTACATTTTTATTTTATGTTATTAATAGTAGTACAATAAATACTGGTAGACCAAATTATTCATATTGTGGGTTTATAGTATTAATATTGTTATTCTTATATACTAGTTTCTTTTTGTTATTTTCTTATTTGTTTGGGTTCAATCAAGACACAAGTCAGTGACATAGTCTTGAACTCTTTAGGACTTTAAAACCTGAAATGGTAAGTAAAAAATAACTTGAATATTTTATCCAATTGACACACAAGAACAGTCAATAGGACTTCTTCTTCCTCGACCAAAACAAGGGCTCAACCCTTGTGTTTTGTATGTTACTTTCCTTTCTTATTTTTCCACTCATAAATATGTTGACTTTCTACTCATAAATACGTATATATATTATATTAGAGTGGGTGCTATCAGGCCCACTATGGTTCTCTCAAACTTATTTCTTTTTTCTCTCTTCCTCTCTTGTATTCTTCATTTCTCCTGAGATTGCATTGGATTATATGGTATGAGCACTTTTCTGGGCAGACAGATTGAATTCTTTTTCATTGTTTATACTTGGAACAATCATAGTGAAATGTGGGGAATTTTAACAACAGTTCCCAATGAAGATATTATCTTGGAATGTGAGGAACTAGGAGGCTCTCTTAAGAGAAGTTTAGTGAAAGAAACTCTAATTAGAGAAAACCCACAAATAGTTGTACTTCAGGAGACTAAGAAAGAGAAGGTGGATTTAGGCTGATTAGAGCCATTTGGGAAGTTAGAAGCAAAAAATGGGTTTGGTTAGCATCTTCAGGGGCTTCATGATGTTTATTAATAATTTGGGATGAAGATCACTTCTCCAGAATCGAAGTGAACAGGGAGGATTATTTCATTTCTGTTCTCACATATGTTGAAGATGGCATTGCATGGATTCTAGCTATGGTAGGAAATTTCAACGTTACCAGATTTGTAAGAGAGAAATCTACCGATGGCAGAATGACTCGAAGTGATGTGGACAGAAAAACAAGTTATAACACTTCAATTGTATAGTAATAAGCACAAAAATACCAAGCTGAAAACAACAAAACAAGTTGGATTTTTAGGGATTTCAGGCCTAAACCTGAAGTAGAACTCCTCTTGCAACAATTCTGCTACAGTAACAATAGCATCAAGCTGGCCTCTCATGTGGACATGCAGTGATAGAGGGATTGAAAAGTGCCAAAATGGGTCGTCTCCTCAAAACCCATACTCCCAATACTTGAAATCCCTTGTTGGGGCATAGGTACAACTCAAACAACAGAGAAAGAACCAAGAGACCCCTACAGTAACAATCCCCTTCTCTTTTATAAGACTTAATAGGTTGTTGGAGAAGCCAACTAAAATATTTACACAAACCCCTAGAATGAATTAAGTTGCATTGGTTTAAGAGTTATTTTTTATTGTCTTATACAAAGTTGTATCTATTCTTGTCTCCATAATGAATAGTCTTGCAGTCATATTGCCTTGGGCGTCTCAAAAAAATATGGCATGCATTTATTGGGACAACATCACACCACACCGATTCTTCAAATGTATTACCAATAGAGAAATTAACTAAGCATTTAAAAGAGTTGTTTGAAACCAAGGAGGTTCAGACTTGTTTAGTAAACAAAAGGAAAACAAAGATGAAGAGAATAGAAGAGAAAGAGGGGTTCGGTTAGCTTAGTCTGCCGCCCCAAGTGATATTTAAAATTAGGTCTACAACAATAAGTGGTACAATGATAGGAATGCCCCCGTCACTAGAAACAATAGAAAAAAGAATTCTAATAGTATTCTAACGACACTATAAACAAAGGAAAAACATATGAACAAGTGGGGACCACAAGCTGGTCAACCATTTTCTCTACACTCCCCCTCAAGTTTGGAAAATATATTGATCATTCCCAACTTGCTTAAATCTGACTCAAGCTTGATTTTGTTGACTGCCTTGGTGAAGACATCGACAAGCTGCATATTAGTGGCAACATAAGGAAGGCACACTTCTTGAGAGGCAACTTTCTCTCGGATGAAATGCCTATCAACTTCAATGTGTTTGGTTCTATCATGCTGTATTGGGTTGTGAGCAATGTTAATGGCCGCCTGGTTATCACAATACAACATCAAGGGTCTTTCAAACTCTATTCCCAATTCTGTAAGGAGAGACTTCAGCCATAATATTTCAGCAACACTATTAGCCATAGACCTACGTTCAGCTTCAGCATTAGACCGAGCAACAACATTTTGTTTCCTGCTCCTCCATGAAACTAAATTTCCTCTAACAAAAGCACAATACCCTGAAGTAGATCTCCTATCATCAATACAACATGCCCAATTTGCATCAGTGTATACTTTAGTCTTCATATGGCCATTATTTTTAAAAAGTATACCTCGGCCTGGACACCTCTTCAAGTAGGCTAAAATTCTCTCAACAACAAGGAGGTGTGAGGTCTTGGGAGAGTGCATGTACTGACTAACAACACTGACAGCATAAGAAATGTCGGGGCGAGTCAGACATAGGTAGAGAAGTCTCCCTACAAGCCGTTGATACATACCTTTATCTTCTAGAGGCTCTCCATCCTCTTCATTAATCTTATGATTTTTCTCAATGGGAGTATCAGCAAGCTTAGCTCCCAATTTTCTTGTCTCTTCCAAGAGATCAAGAACATACTTCCTCTGGGAAACAAAAATGCCATGCTTGGACCTTGCCACTTCAATCCCAAGGAAATACCTTAACTCAACCATGGCCTTTATTTCAAATTCTTGATTAAGTAGTTGCTTAAAAGAGTTAATCTCATAAATATCACTTCCTGTCATAGCAATGTCATCCACATACACAACTAAGAGAGTCAGAGTAGATTCTTTCTTCTTAATGAACAGTGTAAGATTTGGCTTGAACATAGCCAAATCTTTCCAAAGCAAGTCTGGATCTATCAAACCATGACCTTGGAGATTGTTTTAGACCATACAAAGCTTTCTTCAACTTACAAACTTTCTTACCAGTCTCTGCATTATAAAAACCAGGAGGTAACTCCATATACACCTCCTCCTGCAAGTCACCATTTAGAAATGCATTCTTAACATCCATCTGAAACAGAGGCCAAGAGAAGTTAGCAGCAAGAGACCTTTCAATACCATAAGTTTGAGTGTATCCCTTAGCCACCAGTCTAGCTTTATACCTTTCAATTGTACCATCAGCATTATACTTCATTGTGAATATCCACGTACACCCAATAGGCTTCTTCTTTGAGGGTTGAGGTGTTAGCAGCTTTGGAAGGGGTACAAAGGGCTAAAGACCTAAATGTCAAGAAGCTGATTATAGAGGGAGATTCTGTGGTTGTAGGGAACTGGCTAAAAGAAGACAATTCTAAGCTTTGGAGCTACAATAATGAAAAGAGAAAATTCAAATGGCTGATATGGAAGTTCAGTGTACTTGGGTAAAGAGAAATGCAAACTCCTTTGCTGATGGATTGGCTAGGCAAGGGGTGAATAGGGTTTCTGGGTTCTTGGCTTAGTTGTAATTGTTTTTTATTTTCAGCTTGGGTGCCTACCCAACTTTTGGGGAGTTAAGATACCTTAGCTCCTCTTCTTTGTAAGTTTATTCATATTTAATGAAACCTGTTGTTATTGATCAAAAAAAAAAAAAAAATCCACCTACACCCAATAGGCTTCTTCTCTCTTGGTTGATCAACTAGTCCCTAAGTATCATTCTTTACAAGGGCATCCATCTCAACCTTCATTGCTTCCTTCCACTCAGAGACAACAAGGGCCTCTTGTACTGTTCTAGGAATGGGAATGGAAGCAATGGAGGCTAAAAAGGACTTATATGATGATGAAATGTGATTATAAGAAAGGAAATGAGAGATACAATGGGCAAAGGATGAGGTACACTGACGCTTTCCCTTACGTACTGCAATTGAGAGGTCAAGGTCATATGAGGATGGCTGAGGCACAGTAGTGGAAGAGGGTATGTCATCAATAGTAGGAGTGGGTAAGGAGGAGGCAATACTTGAATTTGGTGCCGTAGAAGAGATAGGAACTGACCTGGACTGATCATTACTAGAACCAACTTGCCGCCACCATCTTTTATGGAACACCCTCAAATCTTCACACTTTTGACAACTCCCCTTCACTTGCAGGAATAGGCAAAAGAACATCTTGAGCAAACACAACCTGCTCGCCACTCTCCCCTTGAGGTGAAACCCTAGGGTAATAGGGGACATCTTCGAAGAAGGTGA